TAAAGAAAAGAGGAGAAAGAGATAATCATAAGTCCCAATGGACAGATTGAAGCAGAGTGGATTCTATCACATGCTATCTCTCATTTATATGCTAATTCATACTATTAACAGTGAGGAAGAGAAAGAGAGAGAGAGAGAATCCAATGGATACCTACTGATTGCTGTTTGTTCATTAGTTAGTTTGTGTTTTTAAGAGAAATGTAGTAGTGAGCAAACCAGACAGCTGCTACCTTTCTAAGATAAACTGTTTCATATTGTCCTACAACAAGGCGGAAAGTGGATGTTTGAAACGAAATGAAAACATATATAAAATAAAGCCAGAAAAAGAGATGTTATCAGTGTAATTCAATTTGGATTAACACTGCAAATCATCTCCTTTCATCCCTCCTCCTCCTCTCCCCCTCTCCTCCTTCACTTTTGTTCCTTTATGATACTGATAGCCACTTGAGTGCTTCTCTCATTTTCTGCTTTAAGCTTTTGCTGCTGCTGCCGCTGATCTCAATTCAGCTCAATTAACAATAAATCTGAGCTCACATGTGCACACATACACACAGTGTCAGTGTTCAGTGACCTTCAAATATGCAAGAAGTAAGTGATCATATTAAGGAGCCACAATGAACAAATGCAGGTAGGTAGGGAACGTTACTTTTTTATGATTCATCATAATCAGTTATAAAATTATTACGGCAATTCTAATTTTTGATCATTAAAACGAAAATCGTTTTTCACTATTTGTCCTGGCCGGTTTGAAAGAAAAGCACATGGAAATGTAGGTATTACATTTCACATATTTATCACAAGTTGAATATAATTTCAAAAGAGGAAAATTCACATATAGACGTGTAGATTTAAGGTAACTTCTATTTCCTAAACGACTCTCAGCACTGGTATCTGCTCCAGTCTTTATTACATTAAAAAAAGGATTACTGTTTTACTGTTTCTCCTGGCACTTCATCGGGTTTACAGTTTACAGTTTCTTAATGTAATAAAGAAGAAATTTAACATATTTTCTCAATCAGTTCTTTACTCTGAGTCATACATCAAAAGTTTCCACTGAGAGATTTCTGTATTTGTGTTTTTTTTTGTGCTCTTCTCAGTGGTTTGCAATGGGCAGGGGTCATTTGGAAAAAGGTGATGTACTTCTCTGTGCACCAATCATGATTTAGCAACATTTGAATCAAAGTCTGATGACAGGTGTGGAGCTGTCTGCTTATGCTATCGGGCCACTGTCGATAAAATCTGACCAAACCACACTCACAAAGCCCTTATTATTATTACTTATTTAGCCATGAATATTGTAGTAGTATTGTAGAATATTGTAGGGACATTTGAAACCAACATTTCAGGGGCAAGGCCATTCAAATGGAAAAATCATTTCACATGTGATAAATTCACATACAGGCACAGGTGGTTTAACACATAACATGGAACATAAATAAATGCTTCACACAAAGCCAAAAATCAGTTACAGTCTTTTTATCACTTTTTTGGTGACCATTCTCTTTTCTGTTTCAAAGCAAGTCCTTTAAAAGAACTATATTTGATCACAGAGTGGAAATATTCACCCTGATAGATGGTGTTTGTGACTCATTGAGCACATATCCTCTCTGTCTTTTACATTACTCATTCAGAGAAACATAAGTATCCATCCATGGAGGAGCTTAATCTGTCTGCACACAATATTCTCTCTCTCTCTCTCACACACACACACACACACTGATCTTTAACCTCCTGCCTTGTCACAGACACTTAGAGAAACACAAAGAGAGAGACCTGAACAAAAATCCTGAGATGATTTTCCCTCCTGTCACCACCAGTAAGGTGTGTGCACGTTTGTGTGTGTGAGTGTGTGTGTTTTTGTGTGTGTTTGTGCTAGTAGAGACCACATGCAAAGGGTTTCCACGGGCGACATCCAGAGGTTCTTGAGGGGGTCCCTGGGCTGTGATCGCTTTTCCAGTGCTGTCATCACAAAGACACACTTATACTCAAACAGCACTCTTTGTCAAAACACAGTGATGGAGGCTCAGACACATAACAAAAACAAATCAGAAAACAGCAGTTCAATCCCAACCGTTTTGTTCCACCTTGTGGATGTTTGCGCGCAGCGATGCATCATACAAACACCAGAAATCACTTCGCCATGGTTTCCACACACATCAACCCTCTCCTTCATGCAAAAATGTTCTTCACTCTAAAATCTGTCATCACTTTCACACAGTTTTGCCTAAGCAGAAATTATTGTGCTGTAAAGAATTCTATCAAAGCACAGACTAAATGTCTACAGATTTTTTTAATAAGCAGCCTATAAAATAAGGGTACAGTACAGCACTTTTAAACTTCCTCTTCGTGTCCATTTTATGACCTCACACTGCTTTATATGAACCTCGTGAAATCCATCAAAACACACTCTCTCAAAATCACACAAAAATTATTATAGGGCATATCATTTCACACCAACTGAAATACAGAAACAGACCATTAACTCTACTTTAGCAACTGTATGTTTCTTTAAGGCACACTAGTGAGCACCCAAACAGTACTCCCATAAGTGATTGTTCTAACATATAATTCTGAAACCATGGGCTATAATATGCTGTTATAACAGCCTCCACTTTCTGGTTTCACTCTTTCCACCAGATTTTGGAACCTAGCTGCAAGGATTTGCTGCCATTCTGCCACAAGAGCAGCAGTGAGGTCGGGGACTGATGTTGGGTGAGGAGGCCTGGCTTACAGTCGCTGATGCAGTTCATCCCAAAAGTGTTGAGGTCAGGGATCTGTGCTGGCGAGTCAAGTTGTCCCATAACCCTCCAATCATTTCATTACGGACTTCACTTTGTGCAGGGTTTACTGTTTTAGTTCGGTCTCATTGCTCTCATCAACCTCGTCTCCAGCAGCAGCAGGCAGCTGTTTAGAGTGAAAGGGCTCTGATAAACCCATGTATGCTACCTGTCCAGCAAAACATTTAGAATACACAGTTTGCAACTAGCTGGTGAACATAGTGGAGCACTTTGCAAAAAAAGAGCCAGATAATTCCCTCTGGAGTTGGTGGAGACCAAAAACAGAGTTAAAATGAGAATAAATATTGGACATACATGTGTCACAAGGACATAAAAACAACTCTAAATGAATATTAATTATTCTGTCTGCTGGATGAGTAAATAGGTAACTTGCTAGAACATTTACTATATCAACTTTTATAAGGTGATAATTTGTCAGTGTTGTGTTTCTAGCCTTGTTGATTCGCAGCCCTTAAGTGGAAATCTAAAACAATTAATGCAGGTTTAATGTCACACCAGAAAATGTTAGACAAATAAAGTAGTAAGTAAAAAGAGGAAGTTAACTTAACTTTGGTTGACTTGAAGACACCATAAAATCTGCAAGGAGTGTGCGAGAAAGACAAAGCTAAACAGTGAGGAGAACAAAGTGTGTTAAATTAGGAACACAGCTTCCTTTTAAACCTTAACAGAGTGAGGAAAAGAACATAAATGTGTGTGAAACAACAATACACCCAAGGTTGAGTGTATGCAAAATTATACTATTTTGACATGCATTAAACAGATTAGAACAGAACCATGAATGGTTGAATCACATTATGTCAGAACAGATTCTAGCCTCACTGAAACTCACTTAACTGTTTAAAAGTCTGTGTGATGAATTTGTGAGGGCCCACTGTGTTATGTAAATGAACCACCTCAAAGGTATATTTACAGTCCGTACTGAAACCCCAGTCTCCCACATTATAAATGTACCTTATTGAGTCGACTTAAAGGCACATTTTTACCCCAAAGATAAACATGTTCCAAAGTTAAGCGGAGACATGATTGATTCAGACACACAGCAGTGTGGTGATGGAACATTTTATCATGGTTTTAGGAAGGAATCAACAAACACTTTCACACATAACAAGAGGAACAGATGTTGCCTTTAGAGAGGAAAAGATTACACAGTTTTGTATTTTCACACCAAACGATGTATAAAAAACCTCCACAAAAAAACAACTTGGAGTTAAAAGTCAATTTCCTTGCTCTTTTCTTCTTTTAATGTATTATTTCTTTCCTTTCCTCTTTGCTACTGTAAATGGATCTTTTAGAAATTTGTTCTTGTGTTTGTATGTGCATGTGGGTGTTCAAAGTGTTGTGTTTCTATGGTTTTATTGCAGTAGAAGTATTCTTCACCTGTAGCTTTACAGGTAAAACAATAAAAGAGTGTGGACTGGTTAGTTTTTGGTTAAAAACAATCTTGTTACAAGTAAACCCTTGAATGTTACATGTTAACTTCTATTATGGTGTTATGAAATCTTAAAAATGTTCTCTGCTATAGGACCAATCTATAATGCCTTCATGATACACCCTATCATGAAGGGTTATGGTGATTCTTAGGACACACTGTTGCAGGGGTCAACCAGGAATTCCTAATACACCTCTGCTGAAACACTGAAATTACAGAAGTAAAAGGAGACTTAAGGATTGCTTCTGACTGTTCAATGTGTCAATTTGATTCTGTTTTTTATTTCTGTTTTCACTGTCATTACAACAGAAAAAAGAAGAATGCGCGACAATATGTGTATTATGTAATAGTTTCTCTGTAGAAATGATAACAGAATGGGATGAAGGTGATGGGGAGTGAGCCTCGTTAGCCTTTCTGATAAAAAAAAACATTTGTCCTGTCTAGCTGAGCACCAGCAGCTAGAGTGAAATGGAAAGTGTCATGCTGCCTCCTAGTGTTTCTAGAGAGAAAATGCATCAACAGCAGTTTAACTGTTCAATGATAAATCCTGCTCAGGGAATAAATGATTAAAATATTAGTGCCTGAATAAAATCACAAAATAAAATAATTCAAAGTCACTGTGGCATAAACACAACCACAATCACCATCCACCGGCCATGCAAAAGCTACAGGCATTAAATTAAGGTGGTTTAGCATCATTCACCATTAAAGTTATGAAGTATTTTATTTCTATGACTAAACATGACTTTAAATAGAGCACAACGATCAATTAATGATGTTGACTTTTTATTAAAGTTTAAGTACAGTTATTTAAAACAGAGGCCAGTTTCTCCATTTAATAGTCAGACTGTTGTAAGTACCATCTTTATACAATATATACAGCTGAGATAGAGAAAAAAAAAGGGGAAAAGAACATTAACATATATACAATGTTAAATTTATGTAGTACCAATTAGTTAAGTGAAATTAAGCAGTTTGGTCACAACACAGAGATGAAAAAGTTTGCTTCAGGGCCTCTCCAAAAAGGACTTAACAAGTAAAGGTTATGACACACATGTACACGTCCAGATCCAATATGGACCAGTTCTTGTGTCTCTAAGACTCAAACATCCATTCAACTCTTGCTTTTTGTTTAAATACATAAATCTTTGAGTCACATGACATAAACCAGATTCATCCTTTTCCACTAGTCAACCGTAAAAGACCACAACTACCTTTGACACAAAGTATGAAACATCCAGGGAATTTCTAGTAACTATGTTTGAGCATCAAATATGCAATAATTCAAAAAAGTGTATTTTTTGACTGTTTTAAATATATGACTTTGTATATGGTGGAGTACATGGTAAAGAGAATGTAAGCTAAAAGAAGCACTTACTAAGGACTCTGAGATTTTCACCGATTTCAATTTCTCTTGAAGGATCATGGCTGTAAATGAATACCTAAATATGCGGTTTAAAATTCTACAGTAAATTATTTGTAAGTGAACCTTTCAGCCTACTGATGTATGCACATATGACGGTGTTTCCCTTTTTGGCTTAAATCCCTTCAAATATAGCTAGGTCTACTTGCGACTCTGACACCTCAGAGGTTGCATGTCTTAAAACTGTGACAAGTTAACTAAAGAGGGTTTTTTTTTTCCCAAACAGACATTAAATTAGCCCATAATTCATAATAATAAAATAAAAAATTTTAGGAAATTCTGAAATAAATAGCATCATTTTAGGTAGCTTGTCAGTGAACCATCTCGTAATTCCTAAACCCAATACTCTTATTAAAGATTTTTTTTTTTTTTAAAAAGCTTGTCACCTTATCACAGGGCAACACTCTGAATAATTGTTGTTGTATGAGAAAAACCTTCAAGCTTAAAATATAAATGACAGTTCAGCATGTAATCAACAGGGTCACATAGTCAAAGTCACACAAGTGACTTGTAATGTGGACTAAAACATGGCCAGAGAGCAAGAAACAGCTGTCTGACCTTTGTTCTTTAACTCGTATTAGCATCTGTAGTGTTGCTGAGTATTAGGAGTGTGTGTGAGTGTGTGTTTGACAGCATTAAGTAGACAGATTAAGACTAGAAGGGTATTAAATCTAACAACTGGAGCACTGAACCCAATCACATCCCGGCTAGTGAGTCATTAACCCCTCAACATCGTGTGTGTGTGTGTGTGTGTGTGTGTGTGTGTGTGTGTGTGTGTGTGTGTGTGTGTGTGTGTGTGTGTGTGTGTGTGTGTGTGTGTGTGTGTGTGTGTGTGTGTGTGTCACTGGCAAGCAGGAGTAATGTCAGATCTTGAGTGATGCAGTTGACAGAGGGAAGGGCATTTTTCTATAAGTGCTTAAAATGACAGCGTACACATTTACACAAACACACACACACACACACATACACGCAGACTATCCATGTTATCCCATGAATCACAGGCTGAGTACGCTGACATTAAGACTACAACAAGAGCAGCAAAAAAACATCAAAGTGGCAGAGCTGTGTTTTGCGGAGCATCATCCCTCCTTCTTGTTCCCCCAACTGAACAGTTTGGATATCGGAGACTTTTTCTTTGATTTGTCTTTCTTTATGTCTGAGAGCGAGAGAGAGAGAGAGCGAGAGAGAGAAAAAACATGGCAGTTGAGATTGGTAATAGTAATTCTGTGAAAACTCAAAACAATAAAAAAATACATTTAGACATAAAATACTGTTTGCCGCACAAACTAACACAAAAAGCTTCATATATTTGTGTTGATCTTGCAGTAGATTAGCAGCTGTTCACTCATTTTTATGTACTTGTAAATTCTGCCGCATAACAAGCCCTAATCCAGGACTGTCACACTACGTATCATAGCCATGGATAAAACCTGCACAGTTCAGTCACTCACGTTACTCTGCGAATGTACTGTTAGTAGCAATCTTCTTAGCAGCCAACAGTATAAACTAGAAATTTTTATAATCAATTTAAATCTGGAAGCTTTATTGTAGCAACACTACCCATGTAAACATAGTAGCGTTATTTATATGCAGGGTTTGTATAATTGTCAATGGAAGATATCTTTATAAAACTCTTAAACGTAGTTAGTTTAGTTTTTATATATTAGTATACTTCTGCATGTATTACTGTGTATACACACACAACAGCCATTTATCACAAGCAAAAAGAGAAGCTGTGTCCAAATGTTGTGTTTGAAGTTTGTTTTTAGTTTAGTTTAATTTTTAAAATGCTAGTACTGCATGTAATGTAGTTTAAAGGATTTAGTCCATTAACATGTTGACTGGAGATTTGAAGTGTCCCGTTACAAGACTTTAACAAACACTTGCCAACCAATCAAAAAGGGGTATTTTCTGTGGCCGTAGTATAAAGTAGCATTTATCTTACGTGATACAACATGTGTGTAAACGTAAAGGCTATACTCAGAGTGGGAATAAACTGTGAAACTTTGGCATTAACTTTATGAATAACATTAAACTGAAATGGGTAGTCTTAAGCCCACGGTCGGCATTCACTCGCTGTAATAATAACAACCTTTCACTGAGGTTCAATAAATCTCCTCAATTTCAGCCCTGCTTTTTTGGTCATGAATTGCAAATGAAGCTGGCTCTAACTCTATTCTATCAGAGGGTCAAATTAAGCAGCTACATTATCCATTTGTCTAATAGGAAGCCGCTGACAAAAAGAGGGGGGGCATTTTGTTTGATGCTTTTTCCATTAGCAGTCATTAGATCAAATGAGATGAAAACATTGCCCAGTGGCACCCTTAAAAATGCAGCACATTCACACACACTTCCAGAAACCACTATGAGAATTCTATCTACTTCAATTAGAGGCGTCCATGATGGAAATCCCCAATTGGATAATTTATAAGCAAACTAAGTTGCAGTGACACAGAGGTTGTGATAACTTATGCGCAGAGTGGACAGGGGGTCAGACAGCCTGTGGAGGTGGTCGAGACACTCACTGAAATTCATCATCATCTTGTTTAGCTCCTCGTCCTCCTCTTCCTCCCTGAGAAAATAAAGTGAGAAAGCACAAAAAGCAAACACATTAACAGCAGTTCATACCTTCATGAGCATATACTGTATATCTGTAAGAACAAGGGCAGGGACACATTCTGTTGTTTTAGTTCCGTTTGAGTAAATTGGATTTGACAATCAATCAACGACCATGAAATAAGGCTGATGCAAACCATTTTTTCATTATTTGTTTAATTTGTTTTGAATTATGTAGCATTTTGTCTTTAAAATGCGAAACATGCCCACACCAATTTCCCAAATCCCTCTTTAAATTGTTTGTTTTGTTTGACCAATAGTCCAAAGACCAAAGTTATTCAATTTTCAGTAAAGTAATATCACAACTCCCCACATTTCAGAAGCTGTCAGTAATGATTATATACATTTGTAATTGATCAATAAAATAACAGTTTTAGCAGTACTATGATTTTCAGCTGAAAAGTGCAAGAACTATTGCCAGTTTTTATATATAGTCCCCCTTATTGTCAAATACCGTATGCACAAGTCAAAATAAACATTAATAAAACTTTATTACATACACAAACAAGTACAGTTGTTACATCTTTTCATGTGACAACACTGAAGAAATGACACTTTGCTACAAGGTAAAGTAGTGAGTGCACAGCTTGTATAACAGTGTAAATTTGCCATCCCCTCAAAATAACACATCACACAGCCATTAATGTCTAAACCGCTGGTAAAAAAAAAAGGGGAGTACACCCTTGGATGAAAATGTCCAAATTGGGCCCAAAGTGTCAGTATTTTGTGTGGCCACCATTATTTTCCATAGCTTCACAGATTGCCACTGGAGTCCTCTTCCACTCCTCCATGATGACATAATGGAGCTGGTGGATGTTAGAGACCTTGTGTTTGAGGATGCCCAACAGATTCTCATTAGGGTTTAGGTCTGGAGACATGCGTGGCCAGTCCATCACCTTTACCCTTATTTAGCAAGGCAGTGGTCGACTTGGAGGTGTGTTTGTGGTCGTTATCATGTTGAAATACTGCCCTGCAGCACAGTCTCTGAAGGGAGGGGATCATACTCTGCTTCAGTATGTCACAGTACATGTTGGCATTCATGGTTCCCTCAATGAACTGTAGCTCCCCAGTGCTGGCAGCACTCATGCAGCCCCAGATCATGACACTCCCACCACCATGCTTGACTGTAAGCAAGACACACTTGTCTTTGTACTCCTCACCTGGCTGCCGCCACACACGCTTGACACCATCTGAACCAAATAAGTTTATCTTAGTCTCATCAGACCACAGGACATGGTTCCAGTAATCCATGTCCTAAGTATGCTTGTCTTCAGCAAACTGTTTGTGGGCTTTCTTGTGCGTCATCTTTAGAAGAGGCTTCCTTCTGGGCTGACGGCCATGCAGACCAATTTGATGCAGTGTGTGGTGTATGGTCTGTGCTCTGACAGGCTGACCCCCCACCCCTTCAACCTCTGCAGCAATGCTGGCAGCACTCGCACATCTGTTTCCCAAAGACAACCACGGTATATGACGCTGAGCACGTGTACGCAACTTCTTTGATCAACCACGGCAAGGCCTGTTGAACCGCTGTTTGGTCTTGGCCACCGAGGTGCCATGTTGATCTTCCAGTGACCAGTATGAGGGAGTATGAGAGCAATAACACCAAATTTAACACACCTTCTCCGCATTCACAACTGAGACCTTGTAACACTAACGAGTCACGTGACACCGGAGAGGAAAAAATGGCTAATTGTTCCCAATTTGGACATTTTCACTTAGGGGTACTTACTGCTGTGTGATGTGTTATTTTGAAGGAACAGCAAACTTACACTGTTATACAAGCTGTACACTCACTACTTTACATTGTAGCAAAGTGTCATTTCTTCATGAAAAGATATAATCAAATATTTACAAACTGTGAGGAGTGTACTCACTTTTGTGAGATACCGTATGTGTACATATTTCATATTTGGAGTCAAAACTATTGTCTCTATAAGTCTCTGACACACAGACATCAGCAGACATTTGGTATATTCACAGCTGATGCTCTGCTAGGCGTATGCTGCAGCCAGCTTCACCTTTTGCTTCTTTTGGGGCATTTTGCCTTCAGGCTAATTTTCAGCAAGTAAAACACATTATCAGTTAAATTGAGGTCATGATACTGACTTGGCCAGTCAAGAACATTTTGCTTTTTGTCCATGAAAACTCCTTGGTTAAGGTTAGGGTTCCCATGTACATTGTTCACTCAATACGGATGTAAAACGTTTTTTAAAACTACATGCAATTTTCCATTCAACTTCTTAATTATGTCACATTATGTAGTACAGAAGTATTGTACTGTTATCTGTCAGTTGTATACACACCTGAGTCTGTCCTCATCCAGACCCTCTATAATAGCGTTTCTGTCATTGACAATCTCCACCAGTTTGGCCATCAGCTGCTCTTCTCTCTTCCTGTCCGAGTATGTTTTCAGATGTTCTGCTCAAACACAAACACATTTTAGTCTCACATGTTTGGTCTGTTTAATGTTGTGGCTTGTGTTGAATGTGTTTCCCTCCAAACCCTAACCTGGTTTTTCCATCAGTCTCCTGAGCTCCTGCTCAACACTGGGCTGCTGTTCCTCCAGGTCCTGGGTTCTTCCACTATACATTAAAACAACATACAAATATAAATTAATAGTGATTATTGTATTTGTTACCATCACCTAGGATTGTACGTACATCTTTAGTCTGGTTCATTGACAAATTCCGTTTTGCATCAATTCCTTTGCGCAACACATATCTGTTTATACGGGCTATACCCGTTACTGCAGTTTTCCGTGAACTGTAATTGAAAGCTCTGGCAAAAGCTATTTAGTACATTACACGTGATTTAAGATTATTTTGACAAAATAATATACCCACAGTCAAGTTATTTGGAAACTTTGTTTTAAAAACAGCACAACAAAGATTAACAAATTTTACAAATTGTTTCCAACCTTCACCAAATTTGGTACGACACATACTAGGATGACCACCCAAAAACATTTGCACTTACACAGTGGAATCAAACCGGGAAACTGTTAGCAACAGTTTTTTTCAGACATTTAGCAGATAAGTCATTTGAAGTCATGTTTCTGGCCACCTGGCACACGTCCAATCCAATATTCCCCTCCCTTTAGCTCAGTTTTTGTCTCTGCTAACTCCTAGGAAAGAGATCGGGCTGCTAAATGCTTCACTACCTACCATTTGGTGCTGAGCAGGGAATGTACAGAAGATATATGAGACTTAAAATTATGCTGATGAGAATGGTGAGACGGAACCAAAACAATATTGTTGCAGACCATAAAACCAAAACAGTATGCTGAAAGACCGTCAGGTGTGAGGCAGGTGATAATTCTCTGTGCATTTGTCACTACAAGCAACCCTTTTCACATTACACAAAGTCATTTCATCCATTGGTAACATAAAAATGTTGATTGGAGCAGCTTTAAATGGCCGTAGCTCAGTGTCTCAGTCACTTGTACATAATCCTTCTACTGTAGCCACTATTATACTTATACACTATCATCCAAAAAACCCCATGAGTTCTAACACTGTGTGTATTTTAATGCAGATCTTAGCTGAAATACAGAAAATCTTTTGTTACAACATTTTTGTGGAACCTTGGTAGAAGTTTAACATTAATTTTTTAAATGAATAATTGCAGTGCATGTTAGCTGTTAAGCAGCATCCTGCTTCACACTTCTCTGTCCACTGCAGCTGGTGGGGGGTAAGCTGTCTTGTTCCAGGACATCCTGCTGTGGAACGGAGGAGGGAGGACACTGGGAATTCAAACTGTCAACCTTCTGGCCACAAGTCTGTTTCACTAATCGCTAAATAGTGGCATGCCCCTTTTCTAAGAGTGTGTGTGTGTGTGTGTACTCACATGTAGACCAGTTCAGACTCCCGGCGAATGGCCACCTGCTTGTTCCTGATCAAGTTGAACCACTCAACCATGAGCTCATCCATGAGAGAGTCATCTTCACCGTCTGACAAAGACACACATACACACACAGTTAATCTCATACATTACTCTAAATCTGCCTAAAGAAGAGGCTCATTCAGTACGTGTGTGTTTATCTTACCTTCTTCACTGCTGCGGAGTCTCATTTCCAGCTCGACACCCCTCTTCTCCAGCTCGTTCAAATTATCTTCGATGTCTTGCAGTTCCTTTATGATGTCCTCTTTGTGAATGTAGTCTGGCTTTGTCTACAGATGTAACAGACACATACACAAAAAAAAATTAATGGTAGACGTGAACCAAAACAGAGATCAAGAAACACAGGTGAACATAACATAGTGGCATTATCAAAATTACATTCTTACATTGTAGTGTGGAGCCCCAAAACTGAAAGGGTAGTGGGCAGTAAAGATGATCAGATTAGTAAAAAAAAAAAAAATGATTACATTAATAAATAATACTTAAGTTAAAAAATTAAAATGAGGAGTGTAAAAAGGTTTCCATTCCTCCAATCAGCTGGTTAAAAAGATGAAATGTTTTTCATCCTTTACCACCAATCAGCAGTATTAAATAAATACAAATTTTACTCCTCTGTATACAGCATTTTTCACTTGCTCATTTTATTTATCAGCTCTTTAGTTTTCCTATAATTTTGGTTTTGGCACAAATGTAATCACTTCTAATTAGCATTACCTAGCTAACTTTGTTTGCGTTAGTTTGCTGATCAAAAATGCTTTAGCTACTGTTACAACAGTTTATACAGTGAAGCTACAGCAGCATGAAGTGCAGTGTATGGGTGATGTAAACATGCACTAGCTAAAAGGTGTCATCTTCTAAATGTTTATTTTGACTGAAAAAAAAAATCCTTAAAATGGATTTAATTTAAAACATTCTATAACCTAAACCAAACTTATTTTCCATCTACGGTTCAGTACCTTGGAGACATTTGACTCGGACTTGTTGCCATTTGCAGTTAGATCTCTTTGACCATTCTGAAATCCTGAAATAGAAGGAGATAAAATGCAAAAACATGTTAAGAACAAAGACAAAAGACGGAGGACTCCCTGAGTGGTCTAATTCTTATTTAGGCAATTGTGGGCCATTTCTCATGTTCATGTAAAATAAAACAAGAACAAGATAACAGTGTGTGGGTACATGTTTTCTTTTGTAGATATCATGTTTAAACAGAACAACATTACAACACAGGTAACTGTTACCCTTTGATGCAGGTGGCGTGACAGAAATGCTCGGGCTGTGAAGATGAGAGTGAGAAGGCCTAACAGAAACCTCTGAAGTCTGTGACTTTCCAGCTTCATTAGCCAATGGTTTAAGGGACTGTGGAGAACCAGCGGGTCTGTGGATGGATAAAAAAAGAAAAAAAAGAGAGAATTTAATTAATTAATTAATTAAAACTGCTCCTACAAGTCGTTCCTTTTCTATATCGCTACAGCCCATAGTTCTGATTCATGAGAGTGGAAGGAAAAGTCATCTGGGGAAAGGAACTCTGAGCACTGAGCATATGTTGCACCACGGAGGACTCTACTCAGTCTTGACACCATTTGGGGATCACATGCATGTGGCGGAAGAGGAGAGACTGAAAGCTCTGACTACAAATGATGGCCGAGCCATTTGGAGGAGCAGCAGGTACAGGCTTCCTGTGGGAGGAATGGTTGGATAGATGGATGGATGAAAGACTGGATCAAAGGATGGATGGATGGACAGGACATCGGGAGAAAAAGAGAGCTCATATAGTTAATGCTTGATGCCGTTGATACGCTAGTGAGCCAGCCCACGTACAGATACTGCTTGTTATGAAATTAGGAACAGAGCCAGTAAGGGCAAGGAATTAACCAGAAACATGGAATATGGTGACAACACAAAACAAGTTTAGAGTCAATAAAATAAGTCTTACTTGGTTTCTTTAGAGATGGGTTTCAGCTTTAACCTCCAGTCCGCAGGAGACTCATTCTCTGATGCTGTTGAGAACAAAGAAGCCAAACGAAACTTTAGCGTTTTTCCACTTTCAGGTTTAATACCTTCATCACACCTAAGTCCCATCCCCTACCAATGTCAGTTCCTATGTCTATTGTTTTGTTATTGAGGGATTTTCCACCAACAACAGGTCAATCCCGCGGAAGCCCGAGAGCAATCTAAAAATGTCCACATTAACTGCAAGCTGCTGTGTGTTTTGATCCCTACAGTAACTCTAATGGAGCCCCCTGAAAATAATCCCCATTGTAACGAGTACAGCTCCTGTACACAGAGTGAAGTGGACAGGAAGAAGTATCGAGCTGACTTCAGGTTGTCACTGAGGCCCTGAAAATATGTACTATATGTTTAGTTTGGTTGGTGGCCTACTTTGTTTGTGTATTTCATAAGAAGTCATACAATGATGAAAGATTATATTACAGTATTGCTCTTCAAATTTCCGCTGTCTGACTCGGTGTTTCCAGTGGAGGTGAGCCACCTTATCTGACACAAAAGACCTCCTGGCTAACACTAACTGTAATTTTTGTTTTTCAAATAAATCGATATTACACACACACACACACACACACACACGATACCAGGCTAAAACACTATGCACAGTATTCAGTGTGTGAGCTTTACCTGAGGTGTTGGGTGATGCACTGCCAGGCTTTGAGGCTCCTCTGTCTGGAGTTCTGGCTCTGAGTCCACTCCTGCTGGCCGGGCTTGGAGCAGAGTTTGGGGTCTCCGGAGTCTCAAGAGTCTGCAGGTCTGCGAGGATTGCCGGGTTAACTTTCAGCTTCACTCTCCCTCTGACACCCTCTGTCTCCCTCTTTGGAGTCTCGACTTGAGATGGTCTGATTAAAGGTGGAGTGTTATTAAATGCTATTATTCACCAGTAGAGGTCAGACAAATGCAATATATTATATAGTCACATGTGAGCAAATGTCTGTGTTGTTAGATTACTTACTTGTCAGTTTTCTTCAGCACTACAGTCGTCCATGATGGCTTACTGTTGTTATTGTTGTTCTCCTCAGTCAGTTTTTTGGAGATGAAGGCTGCTGCTGATGCTTTCGATGTGTTACTGTCACCTGCCTTTCCTGAATCTCCACCTACACCAGCTGCTTTACCTCTCTCCGCACCTGTGTTTAAGCTCACATTTGCTTCCTTTCTACCAGCACCACCAACATTCACAACCACAGTAACAGCTTGACCAGCTGCGGCCTCCTGGACCTTACCAGTCACATTCGGCCTTTTATTTATGTCAGTGTTACTGGTTGTAGTCTTTTTGTCTTCATCCTTTGTGGCGTTATCTGACTGGAGGAACTTCAGCTTGGACTGCATTGTCTTCACTGCTGTGGTTGACATACGAGGAGCAGCAGTGGGCCTGGTGTTGATAGAAGTTGTGGTGATGGTAGATGCACAAGTTGTTCTTGAAGCTGTGGGTTTGGAGACAACATATGTCGGACTTTCTTTAGCTGCAGAAGAGAGACCTGAAGCAGGCCGGGAAGGAGACGAAGCAGAAAAGGTGCTGGAGATGCTGGGAGAGTTGCTGGATTTCTCTGTCAGATATGTTGGTCCCGGTCTGGAGGGTGTATGAACTGGAGTAGTTGTGTTGGATTTGGGGGCATCTGGTAGAGGAGTGAATTTGGAAACAAGCGTGTTTGTGGGTAAATCTCTGAAAGCTGCAGTTGTGTTTGTAGGGGACAGTAACCTGAAAGACAGAAAGCACAACACATGTAATCAAAAGGAGGGACAGAGCTCAACAGCTGACCAATCGGAGCCCCTGTCGGTGCTGTTTTAGCTTGAATACAACCCCCTTAAAACCCCCTATGGTTTTATGAATTCTGGATGATGCCAGAGACAATGTTTAATACTTGGATTTCCAGATTCTGTGGAAGTCTGGAAGAGTGAAACAGAACTTTCCAAAGAACCTTCTTTATATGTCATGGCTCACAAAAGCACAAGACAACAGATTTTTCATTTTTATTTACTTGTCTACAGGACATAATAGAAGAACTGCCATTGCAATGAGTAAGAACCAGAAATATTAATAACTCGGAAAAAGGGGCATTATGTAGTTCTTTTATTTAAAGTGATCGTGAAATGGAAACATTAAATGTAAATGTTAAAGCAGGTGGCAAGTAAACTGTGACATGGAATATAACGAGCAGGGTACAAGCAAATGTTAAGATTTTTTTTTTGTTATTGGATAGGAACAACTGCAGAGTAAGACAGGAATGGCAGTAGAGAGAGAGAGAGAGAGAGGAGGGGATGCGATGCTGCCAAAGCCTCCGGGTTGTGATCAAGCCCGGGGCTCCTGCGGTAAGGTCTCAGCCTTTAATGGTGCACACTATATCAGGTGAACTACTGGCCATGGACACCTGACAAAAACAAATTGTTGAAAGCCCGGCAAATTTAATTATCTTTTCATTTAGAATTCTTTCAAAGGTGAACTCCACAGATTTTCCAAATAAAAGTCTGTTAACGGGTCTTGGGAGTGCTACTGCATTGTGGGTAATGTAAGCGCCAGGTTATGATCAGGGAGAAGAATGTATCTGCTTCTGCTGCATCAATTTTGATCATTTTTTCCTCTAAACTTTCCATTAAGAGTCCAACAGTGTTATAGGAGTGCTATGCAAAGTCATTGGAGTACTCTTTCATTGTTTAAATGCAAATTGAATTAATCAATGTATAATAGCTTTTTATATTCAATGATTTTAATTGAAAGCTCCTAATCGTTCTGGTGGCTCAATCTAGGCTCCATAGATTATAAGGATTAGTTATGATTTTGTTAATTTACATATGTCCTTACTTTGCACAGTTCCTGTGATAGAGCTTCCCGTCCACTAGATGTCGCTGCACCAGGTGAACGTGCTTGTTACAGGACACACATTTGTTATTCAGGGTTCCTGCCTGATGGGATTTCTCAACCGCAACATCCTAGAAGAGGGGAGGAGAGGTTTCATGAGGCGGAAATGACAACTTCAATTAGGAAAGTTTTTCCACAGTTGCTGTGACTGATCTGAGGCAATGTGGGGGTTTCTGTTTGTTCTAAAATATTCAGTTTGGTACAGACACAACAGAACTTTGTAGGTATTTGGGTCATCTTTGATGTGTTGGCTTGATAAACTTCCACATTTCTCATCAGTAAAGTAACTCCCCAAATCAAGACTTTTTTTTACAGTTTCTGGACACTAGAATTTGATTCATAACTTAGTGATACTTCTGTAAAGTGTTTTGCAGCAAATAGTACCTGTGTGGCATTTCTGGTTTGTTTTGGGGAAGGAGAGGGCATTTTGATGTTGGAGGAGGGGGGAGGGCTGTTCTCACTGGCTGGTTTGGAAGAGGGAAACACTTTAGATGCGACCGGCTGGTTCTTCTTCCCAGATGGTTCTTCTGTGGGGCCCTCAGCTGGACGTTTTATACCTCCCATACCACCAACTGTAACAAACAGGTAAACAGAGACATTTAGACATGTGAGACAGAAGGAAGGGGACAAAGGCAGAAACGGACAAAGTGAAAGACTGATACTCACTCGGGGAACGTCCATGGAAATAGTTGTAGTACTGGGAGACGTATGTCAAGATACTGAGACGGTCAGGAACCTTAAGAGCCACCATGTCTTCTGCATCCAGCAGCGCTGGAATTCCCAGCTCCTCCTCTGCAACCCTGAATGCCTGCAAATAACATTGACTTTATCCAACAAAACAGTGGAAACTCAGTGTGGATATTTAGAATCTAGACCGAGGGCCAAAGATGGAAATGGACCAATAAAACACATAAAAAGAAGATGAAACCTCAGTAGCAACCTTGCATTTTAACGCACTTCATACAAGACCTTTGCTGCTTGATGTTAGTATTCAAGTGCATAGGACTGTGAGTTTCCCAGAGAAAGTCTTGTTATGATTGGGGTATCTTTAATTCAAGAGATTGGGCAAAAATCACTGTGGTTTGACACTGAGGAAAGTAAATGTACCGATACATGTTGGCACTTGTATTAAGTTTGTTTTTCTGTTTATTGTCTATTTAAGTTAACTAGTATTGGGTTTTAGATGCTCATCCTGCCAATATGGACAAAATTCAGACCACAGATTTAATCTACACCGTATGTGTAGAGAGTCATAGGTGAGGCAGGAATTTCCAAACTAGATTATTCACATTCAGCGTGTCATGGAAGCAGAAACAAACAACAAGCAGAGGCAGGCCAACAAGCACCAGAGGCAAAACTTAATCAGTAATCAGATGATCAAGTAAGCCATAAAAACACTGTTTACTTTGCTGTGCCCTATGGCACTTCAATCTCTTACAGCTTATTGTTTTATTAACAAATCTATTGTTTCAGCTTTGTTTCAGTTACAATCCTGAATGGTGTTAATTTAGGTTTTTATTCTATTTCACTTTAAAGAGCAAAAGTTTGTGATGTTAAACTTTTATCAGTCCCAGAGCTCAGAGTCCAAATGACAGAGAAAATGAAAGTAAAGAATGCAAAAAACAGCCAACGTCAAAGTGCCCAGACTGAAACACTCTGTATTTGGCAATCACTTCTCTCAGCTATGTTTGAACACAGACACTTTTCGACTTGAAAATTCCCTGTTACCCAACATCAAGAGTTACTGATGCAATTTCCAGAGCCAACAAACACGTAGATGCACTTCATGGCTGCATGTAACAATAACTTCCATTATTGATTAATCCATTAATTAGTTTTTGATTGATTTATTAATCATTTAGTCTATAAAATGTCAGAAAATAGTTAAAAATGTCTGTCACAATTTCCCAGAGCCCGGGGTGATGTCTTCACATTGCTTGTTTTGTCTGATCAACAGTTGTAGCCTAAACCCAATATAGTTTTACGAAATAATCTTAACTCAGGGTCCAGATACTAGCTTTTTGGGTGCTTTCAACCACATCTCAAAGTCATCATCATCATCAGTTATCACTTCACAGAAGTTCCACACAAACTCCATTCACTGCTGAAGATTGTGAGATGTGGTTAAAAGCCCTGGAAACAGCAAATAAGTGGACCTTGATTTAAGATGAATTTATCAAAATATTACTTCCAAGGTCAAGAATGAATTTTGATGCTTATATTTGATTAACAAATTATAAAGATTTCACCAAAGTCGCCATCAAATGTAGTTTTTTTTATTCTCTGATCAGATGTTTCCTGATCTAAATCTTCTTGGAAATCTTCTTTGGAAATTTTATTCAAGCAAGTTCTTCAACACTAATGCATTTAAGAGTTTGGTCCATCCATCCATCCATTGTCAACCGCTTATCCTGCGTACAGGGTCGCGGGGGTGCTGGAGCCAATCCCAGCTGACATTGGGCGAAAGGCGGGGTACACCCTGGACAGGTCGCCAGTCCATCGCAGGGCTTTAAGAGTTTGGTGTATTTTATTTTTAAAAAGGGTTAAAACGTGTTATATGTTCCCTCCTGAGCGGTCATAAAAGTTGGCAATGAATTATTTGTCAACTGAGTGATTAATTAATCAACTAACTTATGAGCGCTACTGTCATTTTCAATTTGGATGCAGAGGAGATTATTCACATGCACACAAGAGAGTGTACACAAGAGAGTGTACAGCCATACTGGTGGCTCGGTGAGGCTCTGCTCAGACACAGGGTGCTTCGAGCTAACTGCTAATGTCAGCATGGATCAGGATTAAGAAATCTACTTTACTGAAACCCTTTGTGTGTGGGAAACATAAGTTTTTCAGGACAAAAAATTCAAAACATTCAGAGGTCAAAATGCAGAATGTAAGCGTGTCTTACCAGCTTGTTGTTCTCAAAGACATTTTCCTTCTTCAGTGAATCAAAGTTGCTGCAACAGAGGAAGAAAAAAAATTAGTAACAAAACACATGTGATCCAACTTCCCTTCCTCATCTATTTGTTGACAAGCAGTACATGTTTTATTTGTGTCATGCACATCAAAATATATCATGACACTGACAATGTGACAATTCAATTCAATTCATTTCACGGTTGCTGTGGTGTCACTGATGCATTCATCACAGGCCTGATAGTGTTTATAGTGAGCAAACTGAAGCAAATCCTTTAACCAATATTTAGTACTTCAGCCCATGTAAACATTAAACATGCAGCTACACTGGTCTGGCTGCAGGTAAAAACTGGAATGGAAAGGATTGGAGCAGCTGTGTCTCATCTTAAAACGAAACTACAGTCTGTCTGTGTTCCATAATGACTTCTCTGGAACAAAACCAGGCATATCTGTAGTTCAACTGGAGACGGTGAGTCAATTCTTGGGAAAATTTTAAAAAATTAAGCCAAAGTCTAATGTTGAGAGATCTTATTCAAACCATATTGTGCCAAGATGTTACAGCTTTCAAGTACAAAATATTCAACATTATTGCCTTGTGGAACATCCCTGGTAGTGATCAGTGAGTCCTGGGAAAAACAAAGACGGTGTCCTTTTTACTTTCAGGCAAAAATTGAATTCCAAACATTTGATCAAGGCACCGGACTGAAAAGGATGTTTAACACACACACACACACACACACACACAAACTGTAGTAGATCCCATGCTGAAATTGAGATTTTCAGCTCTAATTACACACACACTTCATTCCAAAAAGTAAGTAACATGGGTCACAGAGATGGGAGGAGATGGAACAAGAAGTTGTGTCTTATTTTGATTTACACCTACAAGAACAAACACAAGAAGAGCTGTTTTGTGGTAAGTAGCCTACAAGTATTTTTCACATTTCAATGCAAAGGCCTAGTAGATATATGTATTTTAGATGCGGCTATTATGGAAGCAAATAATGACTGATTCCATCCAAAACATTATTTGCTGACATAGCATGACATATATAATGTTGTTCTCTCAGTTATTTTTAACTGATGCAGAGAAAGAGGTGAGTAAATGTCCAGTCATGTTAGTTAAGTAAGATAAATAGTTCCAGTTCATTTTAAAACCATTCAGACCTCCTAGGGGCCAATATACTGACCCCTTTGGTCACTTAGCTCCAAAGTCCATTGAGCTCCTGCTCCTGTTTTCCCTGCAGACCCATGAAGCTGAAGTTTGTTCCCTTTCATCAACTGCTGAAACTTGTCAAAAAGCTGGTAAGTATAACCAATATTCGCCTTCTAACTATAGGCTAAGAGTTAAATGTTTTAAACTAGCCACGACACAGACAACACTGACTGACTCGCTGAGGTGCGTTTTAAAATGTTCTGGTGTCAGTAGGCTACTTACATGAGATCGGGTCTGTGTTTGTGGATGAGGGCGCAAAAAGCCAGGCCGTCCCTGAAGGACGTGGTCATGTTTGTGATGGACACATCCCGGTAACCCTCACACCGGACCCGGCACCACTGCTGCAGCGCCTTCACGGCCGACATCCCGGAGCTCAAACCCCGAACTGATCCGTGTGTGAGTGCAGCGGCGCCGCTGTTGGCTCACAGAGCTCCCCCTCCGTCCCTCCCTCCAGCAACACACTTCAGAAACTTTCCACAGTAACTTGGACACGCTGGATCCGGGAAGTGACAGACAGCAGTAGCCTACTGTGTGTTCGTGAGCGTTTGTGGGAATCACCTTAATTCTCAACTGAGAAAGTAGAAAGAATGTGGATGCGACACCTGCGAAAGGTTGAGAGTGACGAGGAATGGGTGGAGTTCAGTCCGCCTTTGTTTCTTTAAACCTTCTCCGCGTCTCTGTGTGTGTGTGTGTGTGTGTGTGTGTGTGTGTGTGTGACACTGGGCTACATAAGACAGACTAATCACAGGCCATAGATATGATCTTAGAGATATGCGTTCATGAGTCCAAATTACTCAGGAATTTTTTAACTATGAGCGACCAAAAAAAAGTGTGCAAAGTCTTAGGCTAATCCATTCATTCAGAATAAAAACCTGCTCCGGTTAATTCTCCAGATTGCCATGAATATTAGGCTATGTGTATGATGATTTTTATTTCCTTTTGGCACACTTGTAGTTAAAGACAAGACCACAATCAGCTGCCTTTAAAAATCCCATTACTATAATTTGTGTTTAATTTTTTCATCTAAACTCCTTAAAACCCACAAATACCCAGAGACAAAACTGAGGGCACATTCATCAGAGCTGCTAAATCACCACTCACATAAAAAGTTACCACAGCATATTTAGGATTTTACATTTCTATTTCCTGAGCTATGACAGGAAATAGTAATATTTATTCAACGATCATAATGTGGAGCTATTTTAGTATGTTAGATCGAGGATAAAAGCAAGGTGTGGTTGTTACTTGTGTAAGTCAGCCTGCCCTGTCCTGTCTGCGGGTTGTATTGAAAGAGGCGGGTTGAAGTCACCTGACACCTCACCTGCACACATGATCAGTTCATAATGCAGCAGGCCGACAGCAGAGGGACTCTGTCTTTCTGATTCAGACTATAGCTGCGTACTTTGCTTCACCCTATTGACTGCATTGTAATGTTTGTTTCTAGTTCTGTTTATTTGTTTATTTATTGCTTTGTTAGCGAAATAATCTGCAGATTTCACTTAAAATTAGGAGGAAAGTTTGGCCATGGGAAAAAGAAAAAAAAAGCTATAGTTACTGGTCTAGCGCCACCATGCGGCCATTTATAAAAGACCACAAACGCCTATCTGTCACCAAGTCCCACCCACAAAATTTTCCATAATGTTGAATTTTAAACAGTGTTTCCAATATTGCTTTTTCAATTTGTATGAATTTTTCACCAAATCTAATACATCGGCTATTTCAATATATCCTTTAAAACATTTTTAATTCGTTTTGGTTGTTCTAGCCCATATTAGCCAGGTGGCCAAATAAAAAAAAAAACTGTGCTGTGTGTTTAGTTTTAGAGAGTTCAGATGCAAACTGAAATTTGTAGATTCTCTGTTATTAAAATTAAATTAAATTAAACGAAAGATTGTGCTTGATTGGAAAGTGCAGATACTTTGCTTCCAAATACTTTCACTCAAGAATTCGGTGAAACATTTATCATGTATTCCCTTTTTTTTGTTTTGTTGCAGTTAACGTGAAAATGTGAAAATGCTTGTTTCATGTAAAATGTATTTCTTCAGAAGTGGTGCTTTTCTCCCTTGTTTGACTCACCATGTTAGAGGACTTTACAGTCAGTCACACTACAGAGTTCATTGGGTCAGTGCGGTCCAGCACTTTGTCCCAGACTGAAATCTCTCAATGACTTTTGGATAAATTGAAATTGTGTACACATTTATGGCCCCCAAAGAATAATTGCTCCTGACTTTAGTGATCCCTTGACTTCATGAATCATGAGGTTGGCATTTGTGGTTTTGTTTGAAAAGTCCCAATATCTATTGAATGGATTGTAATGAAATTTCATTCAGACATTCATGCCCCTAGGATTAATTGTAATCACTTTAAAGATCACTGTTCCTAGAATGACACAATCAGGTCAAATTTTTAATTTGTCCAATACTTCGGTTTATGAACAAATACTAACAAAACTAATCACACGGCTATCTGCCTCAGCAGTAGCCTACATTTTCTGGTCTATTCCATATTTATATATTTCTACATTCATTTATGTCAACTGTATGTTTGTCTACGTGTAGCACCTTATCACCAAAGCAAATTCCTCATATGTGTGAAACACTTCTTGGCAATAAAGCTCCTTCTGATTCTGGTACATTGTGTCTAGTGCTAAGTAGCACATGTTAGCATGCTAATGCAAAAAAACTGACAGTGTTGATGGAAGGTAAAGGTAAGCGAACAGAAGGAGCACGCACACACACAGTACAACAACACACATAGTTTGTGTTGTTGTACTGTTTTTGTTGGTTTGAGACTACTAAATCACGTTAAAAAATATCCAAACAGAAAAGTAACAACTGAACAATGAAGCTGGTTTCAGCTTTTTTATGACCCCCGAGAGTCTCCTATGTAATAACGTACCAAAAATGATTACAATGAAATTGAACATGTAACAAAAATATTTTTTGTGAAGTGTATTGTCAAGCTTTCAGCATGAAATAAACTATATAAATATGACTCAACTTGACTAATCAAGCCACCTCAGAAAGCCCAGACTGAAACACAATCTGGCAACAGTGGGGCGTTTCTCTAAAATGTGTATAACCTGACACTAAATCACTTTCCATTCCTCCTAAATATACCTTTACAAGTATGATTGTTCAAATTAAACATGAACAGAATCCCCCCAAAAGTCCTGTGAAGAACTTTGTCCCACTCTCCACATACTGACCATACAAACACCCCCCCCACGCACAAATACTTAATCCTCCCAAATCCAGACAGGAAATGCCCTCGTCAGTAGAGCAGAATGCTTTTGACAGACCCCCACTGCTCTGTCTCTGCCTCTTTCTCTCTCTGCTTTCTCCTCCCCCTCTGTTGAATGATATATCTGCCCTCCACAAACTGCCATCTGGAAACAGTTAGCCTGTGAACGTTTGCACAGAGCCAATAAAAGCATGTCTATTGTGAGTCTATCAGTGGTGGAGGATAATTCAACCTCGCTATCAGAGGGGAATATGGGACACATTGTTTGCTTTCACTTTCTGGAGCTGGTGTGTGAGTGCGCGTGCATGTGTTGGGGACAATCAAATACTTGTTTGTTGTCATGACTCATGAGATCCAGTCTTTTTCTTTGGCTTTTCTTCAGGTCTTCTTTCACTTTACAGCTTGTTTTCTGGTTAGTTTCTATGGAGAGCCTCAAACACTAGAAATTATTTATTTAATTTTTAAGGGACAAGCTAATTTAACTCAGTCCTCAGTCGATCCCATGTATCTTAATGAATTCGCTATCTACATAAACACTGGGTTTATAATGGTGGAAGCTAAAAACACACACCGAGAGGCTGCAGTAGGATGGAGAGCTGATTAAAGAGGAACACTGATGAAGAAGGTAGAGAAACAATAAGAGGTGTTGAAAAACAACAGCCTGAAACACTTCTGCTGCAAAGACAACAGGAGGAAGATGGGATACATTTTTTAAATATAAAGAATATATAAAATACTGAATACGAATTTGATAATTTCAGCCAATGCACAAAAGGATTTCAACCTTCATAATGGCTCCAACAGTAACTGCAGTAAAGTAGATCAGGTAAATCATAATCACATATCTTGCCATTTCTTAGTTTAAAGGTTGTAGTTCACTCTATAACACTTTTATTAAAAGACACCCATATTTCGATATTACATTGAAACTGTCTGTAGTTTAACCCCTTACTTGGAGTATTTACACCTGATGTGGTTTAAATGCCTTGCTCAAGGCAGCTTTGAGCAGAGCTGCAGAGACGAGAAAGATAATTTGTTATTCACATTTCTTTCAATTTCTACTTTGGATTTCAAACACGAAAAAAATATCTGCAATTAAAACTGGCAAATATATAAAATCTGATATGACATTTTTTCAGCCTCTGGGGAAGCAACTGTATCTGATGTGAAGAATGATCCCAACAATCACCACAGCACTGAAATATTGTGTCCTCTAGTGGCACCCATGTGTTCCAGCACCTCAGGGTCAAAGAAAACAAGTTCAAAGAAATCTGCTGACCACAACAGGGCTCAAAAGTTTTCTTTATTAATGAAAAGATAAATGGGAAAAAAAAATGTGTAAGGTGACAGGGGTCAAGGCAAGAGTGTGGGAATCACCTAATTTCCTTTTTCTTTAACTTTTGAGGCCTCAAGACATATTATAAAATAAAATGGCAGTAGTTTTCATATTGTTCATATAATAAAATTTGAGCAACTAAACCCAAAAATTAAAACACAAGAATTTATCATAAAATACAGAAAATTTTGTGGTCATAACTTGAGTTACCTAAACATAAATGATGGTAAAATATACTCTGTATATTTGTCTTTACATGCTTAAAAACGGATTTTGCGTAGTTTGCTTTATAGCACACATGCATTGACTGCATTTCTAGAACAATTTAATCTGGTATTCTAAAGATGCACGCTTTTCACAGCTGTTGTGTGAGAAAGACTATACATTCAAATCAGATTTTCACAGCATCAAGGTCAAATTTAACCAGAATGATCTTTGCTGTTTAGAAAAATTCACTCGATCGGCTTATGAAATGAATCCAGTCTTAGGTGTTAGTTATATTCTGCCATCAGAGGTTGGAAAACCAGTGCTAAGGAAATTCATGGTATAATGACTGCAGAACACTTATGGCTGGTCTAGTATACTGTAGTTAAAGTAGCAGTTAAAGTGATCCTCATGCAGAGCAGTCCTATGATCATTAGCGTTAAAAACAGGCTGAACAAAAGGATCATCTGGAACCCAGAGATGCTCAAAAACACACAAAACAGAATCATAAGGCACCTGCATCCACCTTTACAATACAGCAGTACCAATTAGTGCAGAAATAGGCTGTAAACACCATTCAAGCACATACAATATTTTACATCATGAACATATATTCAGACTTGTCATATTTTAAGGAAGATTGATCATCCTTTCACTTATTGCACATAATCACTTTGCCCAAAAAAATAAAGATTTGATCTGTGAACTGAACTAAAAACCTAAAATTGAACTAAAATACCTTACCAAGGAAGCTTTACGTGTAAATTAGGTGACAGTTCAGCAATAACTTATCAAACAATACATTTACCCACACAGATATTAAGTGTCCAGACTACTGTAGGTCAGTGATTGCATACCTTTGTTTCAGAAGCCTTCATGTATACAGAAATGCTTTTGTCCATTTCT